CGGGCTGCTAAGCCGGGCTGCTGGGCCGGGCCGGCTGGGCTGCGGGCCGGCTCCTGGGACGGGGTGGCTGGGGTCGTGCTGGCGGTTCTGTCTGTCGTCGACTCCATGTATGTTGCGGTGTCGTAGCCGTAGAAGCTGTACGCCGCCTCTACTATCGGAACCAAACCGTCCCTGGTCCAGTTCCTGTCTGTCTCCAGGGTTGCTTCTGTGAAGTTAACATGAAGTTACAATATATTATAATTTCTGCAAACAAACACGTTAGGTGAAGTTTGGGCGAATGTGGGAGCTGAAAGTGGGGAGGCGCTCTGTGCATGGATTTCAATAAAGCATTTTTTTACAACACGCACATTAAACACCTCGAAGATTTCGGTTATGTGGAAACGAAAATCAATAAATGGTGTTAGAAATAAACGGCTCATTCACATGCATATTGACCCTCGCTTGCTTTAGGTTATTTTATTATGTAATGTTGTGTTGGTTTAAAAAGCATTGAAATTCAGAGAAATAGTATGCACATGGTACACAGTAGAACTCCAGTCAGACCAAGACGTCAAAAACTCGATTTCTGCAAATGAATAGGATTGAAACGTTCCGGACGTTTCAATTCACATATGGTGCGCGTCAATATGGAATGGACTCTCTTTTGCTCTTTGGAAGTTCAGTCTATGGACTGGCATACAATAAAAGAGCAAAAAAAGAGAAAAATCCTTCCCTTGTACCACGAGGGCATAACATAGGGCAGCTTCCATGGCAGCTGTTGTGGCCAGAAGGCAGGCCTGTCTTCTGGCATCCTCCAATGGTAGCCCTTGTCCCCAAAATGTGCAGTTAGGATGACGGTGATTGTCTATTTAAAAAAAAGGAATGTATAACAAAAAGTGTGTTTTGAAATCACATCGCATCAAACTGAACTACATGTATTAGCAGCACAGAACCACACACAAATTTCAAACCTGCACCCTGGCCGACCGCCGCGAAATTTCAAACGTGTCAGTGAATTTGGTACGCTGGTCGATTTTGAAACGCAATGCAAAATTTCAGGTGCACGCACACTTGTACAAATTGGATAAGAAGGCCAGGAACGAATTTAGACGTTTAAAAAGGAATGAAGAATAAGCACCTCTCTTGCTTCTTTGTTGTTTCTCCATTTTGGTCTCAACTTTCGTAAGACCACCTTCGCCGGTCGGGCTGTCTCCTCGCTTTGACCGGCGACCAGAAACTTTCTCATCCGTGGGTCTGCACTGACGGCATCCGCAGTCTGAAAGTTATCATTTATCGTAGAGAATGCACTTGTTCCTGCACATCTCCACTTTTTCTATGGGTGTTAGGAGAGAGTTGATGACCGACTTGGCCTCGATGATCGAGCAGAGCATGATGTCTGCTGGGAGGAAGTGAGCAGCCAGCATACCAAACAATGCCGTCATGAAGACCTCTGATATCTGCAAAGGCACAATGTAGTCCTTCACAAATGTGATATTCCAAACATCTGTGAACTACATCACGCATTACTTTTAAAATTTATATTGCTAGTACAATTTCACAATTTGTGAGATATACATCTGCTTCCGCTTATTGTGGCTCAGTTGGAAGGAGGCTGTGTCACCTGGCTGGTCTGACTGCTGGTCTGGATGTGAATCATCTGACAGATAGCCTGACAGGCGTACGTTCTCCTGGCAAAACTCAGTTATCTGTGGGGTGTGATACAAATCAAATAAAAGATTGTCAGATACTATAAAATGGCATACACTGCTTCGATCCATGAATTAAAGAACAATAAATCATGGAGGCACATCTTTAAAGGGAACCATAAACCCCAAAGTAATACTAAATGACTCACCAAGTAGGATTACACCACTGAAGCTTCGGGGTACCTGTCGTTTGTCACCCTCGTTGAGATGAGATGCATCAACTGCTCTAAGATGAACATCCAGTATTCTCGTGCTAGCCCTTATCTCTCTAAGTATATGGCACGTGGGTCAGCTGGTGAAGCACTGTAACCCAGAAATAAGAAAGAAAAAATGAAGCCTACACCAAAGTATACAGGCATTTCAAGCAAAGTTGCAAGCAAGTGTTGTTATGTACATGGTTTTGGGCATTCAGGGCATCTCACTAGCACTAGGCTCTCATCCACAGCTGACTGGATGCCAAAGATCTTGTCCGGGCACACGACGGGGTAGGTCAGGGCTCCAATCACCTCACACAGCTTGGTGAGGGCTCTTCGCTGATCATCACCCAGAAGACCACGTAGGCTGTATGATACATAAGTTTCTGGCTCACAAGTAACATGAGTTCCACATTTCTACCTTGTTAATGTAGTCAACAAACTAAAGGTATCAAAAATACTTACCTGATTCCACTGGTGGCTTTTAATGAAGTTGAACTTGACAAACATCTCCTTGGGATTCCACCTAAAGCCAACTGGAACTCTGACACAGGCCAGACGGTTGTCAGCTGTCACTTTCTCACTTTTCTTCAGTGGCCACGGGGCAGGGGGAAGTGTCGATCTGGTGGGAGAAAATGGAGGTTAATATCTTTCTGATGGATTGAACTACTGATAAATATCCAAAAACCAGTTTGGGGCCATATAGGTACTAGTATTTAATATGGTAACTTTACGGTTGGAAATGCTGCTATATTAGCATATTTATCATAGGTGATGGATAGAGGGGGTGGCAGCAAGGGACAGGAGGACGCTAAATGGTACAGGACGTCCCTGGTCACCAGGCTTACCTACCCACAGGCCATCCTTATGGTCTGCTACAGGGAGCCACCGAATCATGGCCAGCGTTGTCTGAGCACCACTGCTGGTTGAAAGACTTAGTATAGTACTGTATCCCTCCTAAATATACATACAAGCGCATCCGAGATGCATGATACAGTTTTTGCACTTCCCCATTATCTGACAGGACGCTAATGTATGGCTAGCATATATGGGAGGATGGCTTGTTCACGGCCTAACACCAGGTCGCTGAAGGGTCGCCGAGAAGTACCTAGTTGCTTGCCAATTCAACATGATAGCTCTTACTATATGTTACTCGAATGCTGCTAAGCCACATTCATGCATCAATCATACAAACGCTACCGAAAATTCAATCTTCTAGGCGAAAGCATGGATTGGTGTGAAAGAGATTATCCTTAAAGATAGAAAAAAGAATTATCTAGAGTTCGGCGATCTCATACCTCCATTACATGTTGAGTGCTTTCGTAAATCTTATGCATGGTGATGACCACTCGTAAATGGCTTACATTTGCAATCCTGCTTATCTGCAAAATTAATTTAGTTATATGCAAGCTTGGCCTCTGACATACCTTTGCAAACTCATGTTTGCTGTCCAAGCTGACTAATTATACATTTTTCTCTGCGAATACGCAAATTATAAGAGGCCATTCACATACTGTAAATGCATTTATGTTCGCGAGGACTTTGAGAAGAATGTCGAAGCACTCTTTATTTTGGTAAATTTACCACGATTCATCAAACACGTCTCATCATTACCCCGGCTATATACTAAATAACTTGTAACAAGATTAGTGTCAATTGTCAAGTACGTGTACAAACCTCACAGTGTCTTGCCGGCTCGTCATTGCGGCAGACGATTGTCACAGGTGGCTGCTATAAGAATCTGTAAGGAAATTCAAAAACACACATCAACAACTAATCATAGGTTTGTTTTCAAAAGCGTCCGCTTGCTGTAAACCACATTTATTACACTGCTAAGAAACTCCGCAACACCTTACTAATCTACTTCGTCCTTTTCAAAACCAGACCCTCTGAAACGCTATCTCCTGAATTTTGAGGGGCAATTTTTGCATGTAGTCAAAGCTTGTTTAGGGAAAAATTACACAACAGTTAGTTTCAGCTTGACTTTGAGGTAAGCGTGGACCTTGGTCGGAACGGCAAAGAAAGCACACCCTACTTTTGGAAAGAACGGCATTCCGCCCAGGTATTTTTCGGTAACATTTCCCGGTAACTTAGTGTTGTTAGCTGTGTCGCTATTCTGTTCAGGCGTCCGGTGGTCAACCGAAAGGACAGATGCACGTTTTCGTCCCAGAACCACCACCGGCTCTCCTGTTTTCTCCTTTGCGCTTCCCGCTACCTGGTGAGCCGTATCGACATCCGAACCACACTGCGTAAAGTCTCGGCCGACATTTCATCTAGTCCATTGGGTCCTCCTGCCACAACGTCCACCTTCTCACCATGCATGCCAATAGTATAATGCAATATCATAGTGCATATGAGGATTGGATTAGGTACTACGGTTACAGCTCATATGCCACTTTACTATGATAGTGCTGGGAGCTGCTTGGCTCACTCAGAAAAATACTGAAACTAGGTAAATGTGTCAGTATGGCCTGCTGTATAATTTTTTACCAGTAACTGTTGAAAAATATAAGAAAAAATTAACATGCATACGTCACAGTAGAGAGTGGAATCCAGGAGAACCTGCAATTACTACTAGGAGATTGGAGTTTGGATAGATTAGAGTAGTTTGAAGTACAGAAAAACCGTCCGCATCGGCCAACACCTGATGGAATTTTAAGTCGTGATTTTAGTGTCTTTCCAACTTTTAGACTTGTATATAGATAGTTATAATATTTTGTCTGTCTAATCTCACTGATTTTGTGAAGCATACCTTCATCTAAATGTATTCTTCTAGTCCTATTCGGATGATGGTCCTGTTGGAGGCGTAGAACAAACATCTCGTAACCAAAGGCCCTGTGTCTTCATCTCATTTTGGATACCCTCGGCTGTAGATTTTTCCAGCTGAGTCGTTGGTATCTTTTTTTTATCTGCAAAGCCAACAATGGCCACAGGTTTATCGTTAATGAGCAAGCCAAGCACTGATTTATCTTCCATGTTGCTTAGGACATTCTTTTTATAATCTTTATTTCGATACCATTTAGCCAAAAGGCTCATCTTCCAGAGTTCAAAAACAACAAATAACATAGTAAAAACGCACACGTTTAACACAAAAGACGATTTAAACTATATACAATGTGCAAATTAAGATACAAAATCTAAAATCTAATCACAAAATGTCTTAATGTTTGGCCATTTGGCGTACGAACAGAAGAAATGAAATAATTCATTATTGGAATACAAGTCAACGTTTATATGATATATACTCTATTTAAAATTTGACTTGATTTCATATATTTCCACTAGATGTAATATGAAAGACATTCACAACATGTACTCTATTCGGAAAAGAAATTTGCCATAGATGCACCCAGGACCTCGTCAGGATTATAGTCTGGTTTCATCTATCATATAACCTATCGTGTGAGGGCCATTGGGCCTTGATGTAAATCTACAAGCTCTACAGAGTCCAATGGAATTTATACTTGTGCGTGATGAAATTGAACCTACCTTTCTTGTAGGATGTCATGAGTTTGTCAAGCGCCACCATGACTCCAAATTCAGCTACTACAGCCACCACTGCCTCCAAGCACTCCCTGGACAGGTGCCTCCTCCCTTGCCAGGCCAGTCATCATGGCGAGCGTGGTTGGGGTATGGTGCAGCTTGGTCTTGGAATGACCCTTTTGAGCCGAGACAGTCATTAACTTTTCGTCCCGAACCTCCATTTTTTTCGGAAGATGGTATGATGTCAAAAATGTACTGGACGGACAGCCGTGGGGCATATATAAATAATTAGCTTCTGAAAGTTATGTTTAGCAAGTTTCATTGATTGTAATATGTTAATTGTTCCCACTCACCTTTGACCAGTAGATCATTATTGCAAGTAAGGAGCTGTTGCAGTTTGTCTACCCCCATCCTACCAGGCCTCTTCAGGACAAAGCCTGGCGGAAGTCCCAATACAACAACAAGCCCCTTCTTAAATTCTCCATAGGGGAATCTCTTTCGCCTTCCTGATAAAATCCCTGTAAATACATTTATCAAAATGATTTAGTTGATACTGCTACTAGTCTAATCATGGAAACTGTTGATATTGGATGTACTGGGAGGTTTTTGGTGTCTTTTATACAAATCAGAAACAAGTGGGCCTAATATGCTCCCTTGTCGCCCTTCTCACGCCACTCCTCGGAGCGCTGACTCTCCCATCGCCGAAATGCAAGTCGACGCTCTTTGATTAAGTTATACGCTTGAATGTAGCGAATTGGCGCTCTTCATTTTCACCTTTGAGAGAGCTGATGGCAGCAATTCTTTAGATGAAAGGTGTATAATATCTCAAGAAGTGGACGTATATTCCGCATAGTTTTCTTTATGTCACGATTATGGACTTTCCAGGATAAACTTGTTTCATCATGACATGAGGTGATGTGGGAAGATGATATTTGACATACGGTAAGATGTTGACCATGTTGCGGTCATCACCGATCGGTGGCTGAATAACAGTCTTTGGCATCTCTAAAAAAGCAACTGAATAATTCCTTCACTTGCCATTTCTGGTTTCTTTTATCAGCACAAGGATCATGTACCTCATGTCTGATGCCCTCACCGTCTCCCGATCTCCAAGGAAGGTCTTTGACTGATTGAATGGTTTCTGTAACTTTCTTCGGGACATCGACAGGCAGTTCTTCTATAATGTTCTTTGTGTGATTGTAGATATCATGAATCGACTCGCTGGCTGTATTGTTTTTATTGTATTGTATTGTAACATACAACATCAAAATGTTGTATGTTCAGTTCGTCTGTACTCTGTGTTGGGTTTGGGTGGAGTAGTGCTGGCATGCGCTTTATACCGTGTAGCATCCTTGTCATTTCCTGTTGCGCGTCTTTCTTTGACATTGTTTCTGCTTCAGTGTAGGATACTGTTCCTCTGTTTGTGACAGTCGTACGGTCGTACAGACGTTTCTGCCCTGCCTTAGCCGATTCAGCATTTTTTGCAGCCAGCTCGTACGCATACAGTGACTTCTTCTGGTGCTGCGCAACCCATGTGTCTGGATCTACATCTCCAGTTGCGGTATCTTCCCCGGATCGGAGTCGATCCCCAACGTGAATTCAATAGGCAGGCGTGCTTGCCTCCCGAACATTAGGAAGTAGGGGGAATACCAGGTGGTAGAGTGCTCGGTATTGGTGTAGGCGTGGACAAGTTCAGGTAGATACTCTGGCCAGCGACACCTTTGGTCTTTTGTCATGGTACCTAACATATATAGGAGCGTCCTGTTAAGCCGTTCACATTGTCCATTTCCGGCCGGACGATAAGGGGTGGTACGGCTTTTCGCACCTCCATATAACCTACACAGACCCGAGATTGTCTCCGATAGAAAGTTCGTACCCTGGTCCGAATGAAGTCTTCTCGGAAACCCATACGGCATGATGAATTTAGACCATAACGCCTTGGCTGTAGTTTCGGCCGTCTGGTCTCTAGTTGGGACCGAAACAGTAAATTTGGTGAAATGGTCAGTTATAACTAGGATATACTGGTGACCGCCGGTGGTCTTGTCGACTTTGAGGTAGCCCATAGCTACTAGGCTCTAGGCGTGCCTATGTCGAAATGCTGACACGTGGGCTCTTGTTGTTAGGTGGGGGTGTCTTATG